AAATTTTTGCCTTGAGGCAATGAATCAAAATCTCTGTGGGTGAGTCTTGGACATTTTACCATTTGTCCAGAAGTTCTAACCTGTGGCCACATTGAACCACCATGCCGAGAAAAGGATGAATAGAAGGGGAGAGAATACCCAGGAAGAGTTAGGTCCTGCCTGGGCTCTGACCTTCCACAGCTGTGTGATTTGGAGGACCTCATTTGCCTCTTTGACTTTTAGGTTGGGCTTTCTTCTGGAAAATGAAAGGATGGGAACTGATGGTCTGTCTTAGAGGTCTTTTCCATCACTCCTCGTCCTTTTGACCAGAACTAAAGGGTGAGTCCCTTTCAACTGTGACATGCTGTGACTCTACAAGATATCTTATGGTGAGAGAAACAAAGTAAAGACTTCTGTGGAGTCTCTAAAGCCCAAACCCATCAGGCTGAACCTCTGCCTTCCACACTCACTTTTTAAAAATTTTTGCTTTTTTTTTTTTTCCTTTTTGGTACTGGGGATTGAATTCAGGAGTAAGTCATGTAGCTCATTCCTTATAATAAATCTTCATAAAACACTCTCTTGATAAAAATATGGATATTGATATAGGTATAGATCTACATCCCATTAATTCCTTCTTTGGAGAATGCTGACTAGCACAAAAATGGTAATACATTATAATTTAAAAGTCCTTATCTTTGAGAAATAGATATATGAAATATTTACAAATGAATGATATGATATCAGACATCTGCTTCAAAATAATCTTGAGGTAGAGGGGGAAATGGATGAAAATTTAGATGAAACAAGATTAGCTTTATAGGGATAATTGTGAAAGTCGGGCAATGGAAACATGGAGTTTCCCTAAGCTATTCTCTACCTTTGTAGATGATTAAATTTATCTTTAATAAAAAATTTAAAATGGAAGAAAATACTTCTGAAAAGTTGAAAAATAGAGGTGGTATAAGGGAGTACTTTTTCCCCATAACAACTACTATGGAATACTATGACTATAATCATGCATATAAAAAATTTTAAAAATTAAACAGTAAAGAGGACCTATCATAGGCATAATACTTAATGGTAAAACTTTAGCTACATTCTTATTCAAGTTTAAAACATCAGTGATTCCTGCTTTTCAACATTACACTGGACTCTTAGACTTCACAATAAGACAAGAAAAAGGAAATAAGAGCTAAATAGATTGGGATTAAAAGATCAAAACTTATAATTGTTTGCAGATAATACTGTATGCATAGATAACCAAAATAATTTACAAACTGCAGAAAAACAGCAAGATACTAAATCAATAGTATTGCTATGTACTGGCAATAAGTAATTAGTGATTAGTCATTAGAAAATGTGGTAGAACAAAATAATGTATATAATAACAACATAAACTGTAAGGCACATTGGAATAAATGTATCACAAGGTGGGAAGACATTTATGAAGAAAATTAAATTTTTTATAAGAAAATTATTGAAGGACATAAGAAAAGACCTAAATAAAATATTTTTTGTTATTATTAGTTGTTCAAAACATTACAAAGCTCTTGACATATCATATTTTAAATAAAATCTTAAGTAAGTTGATCCTCCCCCATATTATTCTCTAAATGCAATGCTTATCTAAAAGCTCAACACAACTGTTTGTGGACCTATGTAAACTTATACAAAATTTAACAATTTCAAAATTTTGAAAAATACTTTGAGAATATTCATTGTAGAGCTATAGTGCCTAAAATAGTGAAACACTGGAATAGGGATAAAAAATAAATCAATAGAATGTACCAGAGACCCAAGAAATAATCTCATATAGAATTGAAAGTTGATATATCACACAGGTGATAATTGGTATTAGTGGGCTGTAAGGAGTGATTGGTTTGCCATGTGGAAAACAAAATGAAGTTAGATTTCTACTTCACATATACTCAAAAATAAATTCAGATGGGTTGCAGACCTAAATATGAAAAACAAATTTAAACTTGTTAAAAGAAAATATGGTGGTGGTGGGGGGAAATACTGGTATTCTTGAGGTAGGGAGCACAAGAAAAGGAGAATAATTAGATCATAATGTAAATGTTCCATGCAACAAATGATCCGACACAAAGTTAAAAGATAAGTAGATTAGAGAAGACATTTGCAACATATGAAAATAGGTAAAAGATTCATATCAGAACATAAAGAGAGGTCCTGAAAATTCATAAGAAAAACAACCTAATAAAAGTCTTGCAGAGGATATGAAAAATTCACAGAGAAGGAAATCCAAACAAGTAAATATATGAAAAGATGCTCATAACTTATAACCACAGAAATACAAAAGCAAGATGAGATGCTATTTCACATTTATAATATTGGTAAAAATGTAAAAGTGTGACTATGAGAATGTTTGGAAACTAAAATACAACTGTTGCTACAATTAATTTAGAGATTAAAATTTTAGAGAATGGCTTATGTAATTGAAAGTTCATAATTGTATGACCCAACAATGCTTATACCCAGTACATATTTCTAGATACACACCTGAGAGAAATTCAGACACATGAACATAAGGAGACATAAAAACATTCATTGTAGCATTTAAGCAAATATGTATACATGAATCAAAACATCATATTGTACCCCATAAATGTGTACAATAATCATCAGTAAAAATTTTAAAAAGAAATGTATCCACATAGATATAATAAATAAATAGTGGGGAAAGCCTGGAAATAACCTAAATTATAAAAATATAATTATGGGTACATAAAAGGTACTATATTCACATGCTTATTAAGTAAAAATGAACTAAATCTATCCTATGTATCATTATAAACAAATCTCAAAAATAATGTAGAATTTAAAAGCAAGTTCCATAATAATACATGTAGTATGATATCACATATATATATATATATATATATATATATATATATATATATATATATATATATATATTAGTGGTAGATAGACACAATACCTTTATTTATTTAACTTTATGTGGTGCTGAGGATTGAACCCAGGGCTCCACACATACTAGGCAAGCTAAGCTCTCTACCACTAAGCCACAACCTTAGCCCCTACATAATATTTTTTAAACATGCATTCTAAGGGACTACATCAAGAAATGAATGGGAGGTAGGATGTGGAGACAAACACAGACAGCCCTTTTGAGAAGTTTCACTGGGAAGGAGAAGGGGCTATCGCAGTTGGAGGTGGTATAGTATCTGAGGAGGAGTTAGAATTATTTTTTTAAAGTACAGTACTAGAGCATATAGATGTGAGCTGGCAGAGAGACTGAAAATAATCACTCATAAAGAGCAAATTCCTTGAGAAAGTGGAATCTTAGGCTGAAGAGCACAAAAGGAGATGAATTTGTAGGCTGTACAGGATGTAGAACCTTCCAGAAGTGGTGCTAATTGGATGTGCAGGTGGAGTAACATTGTAAAGGGGTTTGAATCCAGATGGATTAAAGGCAAGACAAAGGACCTCCCTACCATTACAGACCCAGCCTTTCCTGAGATTCTTGGACCACAGTACTGTCACTTCTTACGAAATCTGCTCTAGAGCGTCTCAATAATGCACTCTGTGTATGTGAACTCAGGGAAGCTGGAGTGAATTCCAATACCACGCAATACCTGCGTTGACCTGTAAGTTTCCTCTGTACCCTCAGCACGGGTTTCTCACACAACGACCTAATGTAAATGCAGCAGCTGTGCTTTGGACAAAGCATGCTGAGCTGGTTCCGGTCCTGCCTGGACTGATTACTGGTTCTGTAATCTTCTAGGGCAAACTGTCTAACTTCTCCAGAGCTCAGGTTTCTGTCTCACAATGTGATTAATTGCGTTTATGTAGTTTGGAAGCAACCAGCTCAAGAAAAATACTCAGGACAGGACAAGATTTAAGACTCCCCCTAGCTGAAAATACTCGGAATTTTTCCTTCCTTCTCCTCCCTACCTGTCCTACCAGGGATCCCAGGTCTAGTTCCTTCCATCCCTCCACCCCACTCTCCTTCCCATAAACGTCTTTACTTTTTCTTCCCCTCCTGATAGTCCTTCGCCTGAGACTGTGCAGTAGGTAGGATGTCGCTCCTAAGTGACGGTTCCTTCTAGTGATTTTAGATCCTTCGCGGGTTAAACGGGAGCCCCAGGCAGGGGGCGTGCCACACAACGCTGCCAGCCTTACTTTCTGCGTAAGTGGCAAGAGGCCACCTCTTACACACACACACACACACACACACACACACACAGCCCGGGTGTGCATCTGTCTGGAGAGAGTCGGAGGCTGCAGGGTGCGAGTGTAGAGACGTTTGTCTGCTAAGTCCGTGAGTCCTGCCCGCTGGTGGGAGCTTGCTTGCGTTGCTGGGTTCTTACTAGCTCCCTGTCCCTGGGCCACTGCCCCTACACCTCCTCCTGTTTTGCCCCCTCCCCCAGCAGTCTAGCAGTCCAGCCTGGTGGGTGCCTGTGAGCCTCTCTCCGCCCTCCCACTGCAGGAGCCAACCCGGGAGCCCGGGCCTCTGGACTCTGCTGGAAGCGCATAAAACCCGCTGGGCTCCAGCCACCGGCTCCGCTGCCGCTCGCTGTGACAGCGCGCCTCTAGGCTGGAGCCTGCAGCCTGGCGGGCGGACACCTATGATCTTGGATTGCACCTTTGAGCAGGCTTAGAGGCATCCGCTCTCCACTTACAGAAAGTTGGGAGAAAGTGAATTTGGGGTGGTCTGGGGATAAGTGGCAGCTGGCCCAGGTCTCTCCTTACCTGAGCCATCCTGCACAGCCTCCCCTGTTCTTCCTATCCCGACACCCCATCTGCCTGATTGTTGGTTTTTTTTCCCCCGGGTTCCCCTGCCTACCTGGGGCCAGCTCTGTTTTCTTCTTCCTTATCCCATTGTCCCTCCTCTCTCTATCCCTGTCCTTGACATTGTTACCTCCTGCTTTCAAGCCTTCTCCCAATCATTCCCATCCTTCTTTCTCTTCTTAAACTTTCCCCTTGATACTTCATTCACACCCTCCCTCCATTTCCCCCACCCCCAGCAAACCTTGACCATGGATTTGGAGCCTTCCTGGACTGCCATACCCAACCCTGGGGGCACCCTTTTTGCCCCCAATGCCACAACACCCTGGCTGGGCCGGGATGAGGAGCTGGCCAAGGTGGAGATTGGCATACTGGCTACCGTCCTGGTGCTGGCCACAGGGAGCAACCTGGCTGTGCTGCTGACCCTGGGCCAGCCAGGTCGCAAGCGCTCCCGCATGCACCTGTTTGTGCTGCACCTGGCCCTGACTGACCTGGGTGTGGCACTCTTCCAGGTGCTGCCCCAGCTGCTCTGGGACATCACCTACCGCTTCCAGGGTCCTGACCTCCTCTGCCGGGCTGTCAAGTACCTGCAGGTGCTCAGCATGTTTGCCTCCACCTACATGCTGCTGGCCATGACAGTGGACCGATACCTGGCCGTCTGTCATCCCCTACGCAGCCTCCAGCAGCCCAGCCAGTCCACTTACCCACTCATCGCGGCTCCCTGGTTGCTGGCTGCCATCCTTAGCCTCCCTCAAGTCTTCATATTTTCTTTGCGGGAGGTGATCCAGGGCACAGGGGTGCTGGACTGCTGGGCTGATTTCCGCTTCTCCTGGGGGCCACGGGCCTACATCACCTGGACTACTCTGGCCATCTTTGTCCTGCCTGTGGCCATACTTACAGCCTGCTACAGCCTCATCTGCCATGAGATCTGTAAGAACCTAAAAGTCAAGACACAGGCTGGGAGGGTGGAAGCAGGGGGCTGGAGGACTTGGGACAAGCCTTCACCTTCTGCCCCAGCTGTGGCCAAGCGGGGGCTACCATCTCGGGTCAGCAGCATCAGCACCATCTCTCGGGCCAAGATCCGAACGGTGAAGATGACCTTCATCATCGTGCTGGCCTACATCGCTTGCTGGGCACCCTTCTTCAGTGTCCAGATGTGGTCTGTGTGGGATGAGGATGCCCCTGATGAAGGCAAGTATGTGGTCTATTCGGGGTGGTGAGGTAGGGAAGAGCAGGAAAGGAGGACAGTAGGGATAGGCAGGGGTTACAATGCCTCCCAGGACCAGGTGGGTGACAAATGAGTGCAGCCATTAGGAAAGTTGGTGTTTGTTTGTTTTGGTCCATCTTCTGTTGCTGGAACAGAGTACCTGAGACTGAGTGACTTATAAAAGAAAAAAGTTTAGCTCTTACTGCTCTGAAGGCTGGAAAATCCAAAGTCAAACGTTTGCATCTGGAGAGGGACTCTCTGCAGAGTCTCTGGGTGGCACAGGATATCACAGGACATAGGAGAGATAGCCAAACTGACTTTAATAGAAGAAATATTTTTGTGATAACAAACCCACTTCCTTGATAATTCATTAATCTATCAATCCATTCATGAGGGCAGAGCCCCACGACCCAGTCACCTCTCGAAGGTCCTACCTGCAAGTATAATGGACATATGACTGTGGAGATTATGCTTCTGACATGAATTATGGAGGGCAAACATTCAAACCATAACATTTTCCCTTGTGAAGAGGGACAGATGCAACTCTCATCCAGCCTACCAATGCTATGTATCTTTTATGTGAAATTTCCTGATTTTTAAATCTTGATATCTAACTTAACAATTTGAAAATACTATGTGATGCTAATGAACTGTAACTGTAGGCAGATTTGCCCAACCAACTTCCAGTTTGCCAGATGGGCTTTAGAGTCCAAAGATTCTAGAGTTGAAGGTTTTTTTTTTTTCCCCCAAATGATCTGGTCCAGGATGACAATTTGTGGCCCAGAAACTGTCTCTCTCGGCACTCTTCCCTCCTGTACCTGGACATCACTTTGAGCTCCATCTCAATGGCCACTTTCAGTTAATTAGGGCTGACACATGACAACCCTCAAATTTCAAGTGCAGCCAGGTACGGTGGTACACACTTGTAATCCCAGCAGCTCAGGAGGCTGAGGCAGGAGGAGCCAGCCTCAGCAAAAGCGAGGCATTAAGCAACTGCGTGAGACCCTGTCTCTAAATAAAAGTACAAAATAGGGCTGGGGATGTGGCTCAGTGGTTGAGTGCCCCTGAGTTCAATCCCACCCCCACCCCCGCCAAAAAAAAAAAAAAATTTCAAATTCAGCCACTTCATTGTGTCAATGAAGAAACAGAGTCTCAGAGAGGAACCACGACTTGCTCAAGGACACACAGCTAGAGAGTGGCAAAGTGAAGATTTAAGCCCAGGTCTTCTGCCTCCTTGTCTTTTCCCTCAACCCAGCCCTGCTCATAACCCTGGTTCTAAAAGTGCCTCCACACGAAGGGCCTTCCTCTTACATAAAAAACAAATGGGATCCCCCAAGAGTTCTGTGTTTCAGTTGGCACATGGCAGGACTTGCCTTTTTCTGGGGTGAGGTAGACATCAGAGCTTCAGACACTGCCTGGTAGTCCGGTCTTTGGCTGGTGCCCCTCCTGCAGCCTTCCTGTTGGTCTGGAGAGTTTCATTTAGTCTATTGAAAGATCATATCTGGAAGGAATCTTGTCAGAGTTTGGCACTCTCCCATTTTGACTGCCTAAGAGAGAAATTAGTTTTTCCCTGCAAAGGGGTCAGTGTGCTCCTAGGGACAATCTGAGAACAAGCACTGGAATGGGATACTCAGATGTCCCTAGAAGCTTTCCTCTCTCCTGTGCTTGGAAATGAGGCCATAGGACCTATGGAGCAGCAAGGCTCCACTGATTGTCCTACCAGGTCCCTGGCACAGGGCCCAGCACGGAGGCAGTACTCCACATGTATTCAGTGACTAAATGTCAGAATAAGTGAGGCTGGCCCTGAAAGGCAAAGATAGAATCTGGAGGGCAGCATAGGAACAGAAGTAGAAGGGACCTGCACTTGGTTATTTTCCCTGTTTATTTTCCCAGGTCTACATCCAGTAGGGGATTCAAGTTCTAGGCTTTAGAACAAAACCAACTTCTCCTATTTGAGCTGGTCCTCTCCCTAACAATGTGGACTCTTCTAAATTCAACTTAAAATTTGGAAAAAAAAAAAAAAAAAAAAAAGCTCCTGCTCTCACCCTGTAGTTAGTTACAAAACAAACAAAATCAGTGAGGTAGATTCTGGAGTCAAGTGACCCAAGTCAAGTCCCAGCTGTGCTCCTCTCTAGCTACAGAACCCGGAGCGAATCCCTTTTCCTCTCTGGGACTGGGTTTCCTCATCTGTTCAGCGGAGGGCTGGCCTCTCTCCCAGATCCCTGCAAGCCACCATCCTAAGTCTTCTTGTACTTCTCTTGTGGCAGATTCCACCAACGTGGCCTTTACCATCTCCATGCTTTTGGGCAACATCAGCAGCTGCTGCAACCCCTGGATCTACATGGGCTTCAATAGCCACCTGTTACCACGCCCCCTGCGTCATCTTGCCTGTTGTGGGGGAGCCCGGCCCCGCATGCGTAGACAGCTCTCCAGCAGCAGTCTCTCCAGCCGCCGCACCACCCTGCTGACCCGCTCCAGCTGCCCACCCACCCTCAGCCTCAGCCTCAGTTCGAGGCCAGGGCCGGCAGAGTCACTGAAGGATTTAGAACAGGCAGACGGGGAAGCCACCACTGAGACCAGCATCTTTTAAAGAAGACTTGTTGGATGGAGCCTGGGACTGCCCCCAGGGCTAGCAGTGGAGGATCTCTGCCCATCTCAGGCACTGGGTGTAAGAGCTGGGAGGTCAGGGTTAGCGTTCCCTGGAACCCAATTTGAGGCAGTGCGAAGAGGCCAGAATAGCAGCCTCTAAGGTGAAGCCTGTCCTCCTTAGCTCCCAGTCTCATGGTGACAGTCAGACAGAATCAAATGGCCTGCTTCCCGGACCTGCCATACTCACAGGGTGTCTTGGAACACACCCACAGGGTGGAGGTGGTGCACCAGACCTGGGGTGGCACTGTCTGAGGGTCCCCAGGTGGCAGGAACTCAGAAGCTGGTCTCATGCCTTAGCTACCTGTCCCCAGTCTAACCTGACTTGCACATCCCAGCCCAACCCCAGGGCGCAGGGAGTGAAAAACTCTAAGGACCTACTTGGATCCTGATTTTTTTTTTTTTTTTGGTATAGGGCATATAGTTTCATGAAGCAAGGCGAATGTGTATTCAGCCTTCACCTGCCATGCCCTCTTGTTTGTGGAAGGGAGATGCAGGATTGGTACAGCATCTGCTACACAGTAGGAACTCTGCAAACGTCAGTTCCTCTTCCCCCATATCCTCCCCCACGGGATGGGTGGCAGGGGGAGTATTGTGTGTCCTCAGTGGTAGAGCCTAACCTGGGGGAGTCAGGGAAGAAAGAGGAAAGGATGAGGTAGAAATGGTCACAGTAAAATTCAGAGCAGGAATAAACCTCAGAGGCTGCAGGGGCAGGTTTCCCTCCCTCCTCTCCCCAAGGGGTTCCTGCTACTCCTTCCTCTGGGGCTGCATGGAGGAGAAGTCTTTAAGGAGGAGTGCGTGATCACAATTCTGGAATATCCTTGAGGTTCTGTGGCGCTTCCAGTAAAAATTGAATGGATGTGGGGGTGGAGTCAAGAGCCTAGGATTCTCATCTCCGCTCTGCCTTGGAAAGTCACCTCTCTCTCGGGGTCTCTGCTTCCTCACCTGTTGAACAGGTGAGATGGTCTCTAAGGTCTTTCTCAGCTGTAAGCTTCTCTGACTTTGCAAGACTGGAAGTGGTGTCATAAGAGATGACACAAAGGGCATCTAACTCACAAGCTCCAGGAGAACTGTTGAATTTTCACGGCAGTGACACTTATACTCTTTAACAGTTCTGGTGACTCTGGGTTCTGCCACGGCCATGCTGCCCACTTTGTCTTCAGTTCTGTGATGCTGAATCCTTCTCCAAGGCCAGGAAAGACAGCAGGGCAGGTGGAACCTGAGACTCTGCCCTGTTCCTCCTTATCTCCAGGGAGATTTACATCACAGGGTAGTTTCCTCACTCCAGCTGTCATTCTAAGAGACAGCCTGGATGGTAGAAGGAGCATCAGCTGAAAGGTCAGCAGGGATGGGTCTTGGTTCTGCTGCCACCAATGACCAACATCAGGAAAATGCTGGCTAACCTTGCCACCTCGGTTATGAGGGACAGAAAGGACTGTGGATATAAATGAGGTCTGTAACCCCATCGCTCCATACTGATGTAAGGAATTAGTAATCTAACTAAGAGCATCTGAGAGAAACTCTAGGGGACAGATTCACTCTCTGCCTCACTCCTAGGGAAGCCTTGAGGGGTGATTACATTTTTGTAGATACATTCCTTTAAGAGGCCACCCAGAGCTGAGTGCTGAGGTGCACACCTGTAATTCCAGCGGCTCGGAAGGCTGAGGCAGGAGAATCGCTAGTTCAAAGACAGCCTCAGCAATTTAGAGAGGCTGGAAGCAACTCAGTGAGACCCTGCCCAGTATCTAAATAAAATATTTTTTAAAAAAGGGATGGAGATGTGGCTCAGTGGTTAAGTGCCCCTGGGTTCAATCCCTGGTACCAAAGAAAGAAAGAGGCCACTCAGCTCTAAGAAGCCTCCTTGGGCTTCCTTAAAAGAAAAGGGCTTGAGCTGAGTCCTGGCCCTTTAGTGATAGAGAACTGGACACCAGGACATAGGCCCTAATAGAAATAAGGCTCTAGGAAGACAAGAGGACGCATAGTCTCCTATTCACTGGGTTCTATAGCCCATGGAAGCCCCTGTTCATCTGCCTGAGTGGAGCTGGGCTTAGGAGACTCCCATACCAGCAAGGCTTCTGCCCACACAAGCGGTTGCCATCTTCTGAACACAGTTCCTGGCCATAATGCTTATAGTAAATAGGCACTGAGTAAACATCTGTTCATCATGATGTTTAAAGGATAAATGTAACTCCACCTTTACAACCTAAAGACCTGGGTTTGAGTCTTGGATTTACCCCTTTTCTACCTGTATTGACTCAGCAAGTTGTTCAGTCACTGTCCTCGTTTATTAAGTAGAAGTAGCAATGTCACTTTGTTGCAAAGGATTTATAAGACTGTAGGCTATAGCACTCTTTGCTGATATCAGATAATGATGGCCTCATTCCAGATTGTCTCTGGGGGATCATTTCCAGGACCTTGGGCCAGGAGGGTCTATAGTTCAGGAAAAGAGACCCACCTGGGATCGAGTTTGACTCAAATTCCTTTCTCATCTACTCTTTGCCTTCAGTAGCACCCCTTCTTACCACTACCGTATTTTCTGTTTGGCACTGAATAAGGGAAATGGACTTGTGGGGGTGGCTTTGGGACCCCCACTGTTCCTCCATGGGAAAGGTGCTCTTGATCTTTTCCCTGGTTCTTTCTTATTAAAAACCAATGGAGAACAACCAGCCACTGGGTTTCAGGGTCCCATTCCAGAAAGCTTCTGGGGGAAATGGTGGGTCTTGTCTGGATCTATGAATGACAGCTTTTCAGGACCTGTAGGAAGCTCTCATGGACAGACTGGATGAGTCTTAGATGGGACACAAGGTGGCAGGAAGCAAGAAGGGGGTTCTCTGCTGTCAATCCCATTCCTAACCACTAAGCCCAGGAGAAACTGAACAGAGCTGTCTCTGGGTGGGGCACTTGTGTAAAATATTGATGCCATTCTATGGACTGTGAAATATAGTACCCCAGTCCCTTAAAGCCTTCTCAGGAGCAGGAGGTGAGGGGCAGGCAGGGCTCAGAGGATGGCAGGTAGGGCATTGATCGTTTGACTATGGGGATTCTGCATATTGGCTTTTTCCATAGTTTGGTATCAGCCAGTAACTTCCCAGATGACCATGTCTGTTTTTTTGTATATAAAGAGGCCTTTTATCTATCAAGGGGCTATAAATTCAGTCCAGGCTATAGCAGTTCATTCCTGGGTCTGAAACCCAGAGAAGGTTGAAATCCACTAATAAAACTCTTTAATATGCAGGACATTGCTGGTAATCTTTGTTTCCTAGGGGCAAGTATAATGGGAATCTGCAAGAAAAAATTAAAACATGATCTTGAGAGAGAGGGGTAGGGCAGGACCACCTCCCTTGGAGTCCTGTTCTAAGATCATCAGAAAAGCAGAGTATCCTGGAGTTTGTCATTAGACCACAAGGTGGCACTGTGGAGCTGAAAGTGCTGGCAAAGTTGGCTTGGGCTGGGCCCTGCTGGGTGGCTTCTGCCCCAGAATTTGGTGGCGCCCCTTCTTCAGCCCAATATTACTAAAATCCAGTTTATTCACTCCCTCTCCTGGAGGGTCTGAAGCAGTAATGGCCCTCAGGGGAAGACTGGGAAAGTTACCCAGTTCCTTAGCTTGAATGCCATTAGAAAATTTCTCCTGAAGTCCTGCAGAGTCTCAGCTCCTTATCTCCTCCCGTTCTCCTGAGATACCTGGACACATGCTGCCTTCTCTCTAAGCCCACGGGGGATGTATTTGGCAAGGGCAGAGAATAAGAGGTTTCTACTACAAAGTGAGGGACTGAACACAGGCCATGAGATGTACACATGAGTGATTAAGGGAGCTAGTGAGACCCCCCAAAACAGATGAGCTATAGTTTTCTTAGGTGCTGTGGTTTAGAGACTGGGTGCATGGGCCTCTTGAGAGCCCCTCTGAACTCAACAATCTGTCCTAATGCCAGGAGCCAAATAAAACAAAAACACAAATAAAAACAAAAAAACCCCATGGACATTGAGCATAAAATACCTCCTTGCCCAAGTAGGTCAGGTTGGCTAATAAAACACTGATGGTATTATTCTGCAGTTCCCATGGTGGACATTTGGATGCCTGCTCCTTTAGAATAAGAGTCCACTGAAGTAGGTCACATTTGCTGTGGTCTATATTCCCAGCTCATTATTGGCACATAATTAACCATCTAGTGTTTACCAATAGAAAATCATCTTCTTTGGATCTTATCAGAATTTTTGGGGGATATTTTTATCTGGATTCCTCACTCATGGAGGAACCCAGAATGGAACAGCATAATTATTTCCTGGAGGTTCTAATGACATGGAACATGGGAGAACGTGACTTCCTTTGAACTGGAAACTATGCTCCTCAAAGGGTGATCACTTATGCAGACACTATGGGTACAGATTTAGGCAGATGAATCTCTAAGGACGTAGAGTGTCCTAGAAATGTCATAAAGGCTATTTTATTGCTTGCAATGTGTCTGGTAGTAATTTTGAGGATTAATTACAGCAGTCCTCCTTTATTCACCGTTTTAATTTCGGCCTTTTAGTAACCTGTGGTTAACTATGGTCTGGAAATATTAAATGGAAAATTCCAAAAATAAATAATTCATAAGTTTTAAATTGCATGCCATTCAGAGTAGTGTCATGAAGTAGTGTCATGATATAATTCCAGTCTCACACCATCTTATTCTCTTCTCCCTGCAACACGAATCATCTTTGTCCTGCAGAGCTATGCCATATGAGCTACACATATGTTAATCACTTAGTAGCTGTTCTGATTATCAGATTGTCACAGTATCATATGCATGAAAGACCACATTCACATAATTTTTATTAGCTTACTATAATAATTGTTCTATTTTACTAGTAGTTGTTGTTGATTTCTTCTTATGCCTAATTTATGTACAGGAAAAACATAATATAAAGAGGGTCAGGTAGTATCCAAGGTTTGAGGTGTCCACTAGGGGCCTTGGAAGTATCCCCTAAAGATAAGGGGGAACTATGGTAATTTAAATTATTGGCTAGCCCTCATCATCAGTTTATTTGCTGAAACTCCTTGGGAGGTAAAATTGGCCTTCCTTTTATCAGAGCATCTGAGACATCATCAACCCATGGAGTTCATTCGGTGGAGTCACACTTTGAACTTGATTTTTTAAATGGCACTCTCCAAGAATTCCTGTACCTGATATGCAAGCAGGATGGGCCCTGATGTTATCCTCCACGATAGACTTGCTGTAAAGTGTCATACTTTTGAAGCAGACTTCATCAGGGACCTTAGATGATCTGTGCCATTCTACAGCCTATGGTGCCTGGTCTCCCTAACATCCACTCCCTGCCCCTGAGCATCCCAGCACACTCTGAGCCCAGGAGGACATTTCCCTATCAGGCTCAGCTCAGGTCAGTCCCTCAAGAACTTGTAGAGAGAGCCTGCACTCGGGCAGGTCTTGCTTCTTTCTGCCTCTTCTCCTTTTGATTGACTTTCCACCTTTCTTTCTAAACTGAGGTCAGAAATTGCTTCTCTCCGGGGTGGTTTCTCTGATTAAGTCTACCCAGTCATTCCTTTCCTCAGATCTGTATAACACGGATAGGCTCTGGTTTTATTGCTCTGTGTTAATTCTGCTTTGTTACATGTTATTTTGTACACATTCTCCGGTTCTTTCTTGCCTGCCCCAGCTAGGCCATAGATGCCTTAACCCCTCCCTGATGATTCCAGATGATCAAATCTTCATGTTGTTTTGTTTTGTTTTTTAGCACTGAACAGATAATTTTATTTACGTCCCCTTTCAAAATGCATGCACATGAATAAGATTGTATACAATAGGCCAAAGATTACCTAGAGACCAACAGAGCCATATAAAAATAACTTAGAGCAAGTTTTATTGATTTAAATAAGGCAAGTGAAACGTAAGGTCAGCATTAAAATAAAAAGATTTTTAAGAAATTTCTCATAGTTGTACAGTGGAAAAGTATGAGTATCAAAATTTTGACTATTACTGTGCAGAACTGAAAGCCATGTGCATTTCAAATTGTAAACTCTTATAATAATACCATTAAATCCACAAAGTCACTGGCAAGTTGTCTGATGTTATCCAGATCCTACAATATTTTCTTTATGTAAATTTTGGTATATTTGAGTTCATAATAAGCCTAATTTTATATCACTTGAAAATAATAAAATTCCAAGGTATATCTGCTTCTTTAAGACATCAGAATGACAAATGTAATTTTCTAGGCTGATATAATTCAAGTACAGTAATAAAAAAGGACAACATATTTGCTCCACAATACTAAGGACTGAACCCAGCGCCTCACACATGCTAGGCAGGGCAAGTCAACCTATATTCCCCACCCTTTTAAAAAAATTATTTTAATTTAAATCACTGTTGCCCAGGCTAGCCTCAAACTTGTGATCTACTTGCCTCAGCCTCCTAGGTAGCTTGGATTATAGGTGTGCACCACCACAGACAGCTGACAACACATAATTTTAATGAAATCAAATCTATTTGAAAAAAGGGACATTATAGAGTTGTTAAACAACAGTGCAAACTAACATTAAAATCAATGATATAGATTTATATAAGAATACTTATATTTATTTTCACTGGACAAATTTTAAAGCCATTTTTCTTTTCTGAAGCATAAATAATGGGTCATATTCTAACTATTCAATGATTAACCACATTTCTATAGCAGACTCTTCATTTTTATACCTGCTAACATGTTCACAAGTTGTAATAATCCTTTGAATTTGTACAGTACCTTAATAAATCTGATAGATCTTGGTATCCCTCATTACTTTTTGTACAGGATATTCTGTATTAAATCCAGAGCCTCCAAAAATCTGCACAGCATCAGTGGCTAATTGATTTGCAACATCTTCAGCAAATGCCTTTTTAGTAGATGTATAATAGGTATTTTGGCGACCAGAATCAACTCCCAAGCTGCTCTCTGGTAACTTAATCTAGCTAGTTCAAGTCTTTGATTTGTATTTTCTCCTAACCCTCTGTTCCAGAATTCTGTAGAAAGCAAGCATTCTGCCTGCTAGCCCAGGTATCCCCTCTCTTAGTTTGGAAACAAAACTGTCAATCTCTCTTGGGTGCCCTATAACTTATCTGAGCCTCTTTAGCACAAGTTTGATGATTTTTGTTTGTTTGTTTTTCTTTTAAAAGACAACAGCAAGAAGTAGAGTGTCATTTCTATTTTCTTTTCTTCTTCTTCTTCTTCTTCTTTTTTTTTTTTTTTTTTGGTACTTGGGAACTAGAGATTGGATGGACCCAGGGGTGCTTTACCACTGAGCTACATCCCCAGCCTTTTTTATTTTGAGACAGGGTCTTGCTAAATTGCTGATGGTCTCCCTAAGTTTCTGAAACTGGTCTCAAACTTGTGATCCTCCTGCGTCAGCTTTCTTTTTAAAAAAAAATTTTTTTTAAGAGAGAGAGAGAGAATTTTTTAATATTTATTTTTTAGTTATTGGCAGACACAACATCTTTGTTTGTATGTGGTGCTGAGGATCAAACCCGGGCCGCAGGCATGCCAGGCAAGCGCGCTACCGCTTGAGCCACATCCCCAACCCTGCCTCAGCTTTCTAAGTCACTGTGATTACAGGCATGTGCCCTGCACGGACTAAGCTTCATTTCTTGATGCGAGGGCAGTGTTGCTATCACGGTTAATGATTATCCCTCATCCTGTCTCTCTAATCAGCAGAATCTTTTTTTATCCATGAGGTAAAGCTTTCAAGGGGAGAAACAACAGTGAGAGCTACAAAGTGAAGGGCAAACAGACTGGAAAAATTTTCCAGCTCCAAAACCCAAATCAGAATCATCCCTACAGATCATCTTGGGGAAGAGGAACCGGGAAGTGAAGGGGGCCCCCTGCACACAGCGTCAGAACTAGGAAGGGCATTTACATCCTGCAGATGGAGCATGGCTAACAGATTGGTCTTCCTAGGAACTGCCCATCACTGATCTGGATTTAGATTTGTCTGGGAGTATTCCTAGGGTTTCAATGTTTTTTAAGCTATTGTAAATTTTTTTTCTCTCTCTTAGTAGTACCAGGGCATTCTACCACTGATCCACATCCCCACCCTTTTTATTTTTTTATTTTGAGACAGGATCCCACTAAATTGGACAGAATGGCCTTGAATTTGTAATCCTCCTACCTCAGCTTTCTGAGTAGCTGGGATTATTGGCATGTGCCACCACACCCAGCATAAGCAATTTTTTTCCCATTTTATGTCTAAATTAGCTATTGGGGGAAAACGTGTATTATTTAGTCATTGATTACTGAACATAATTTTTGTTCAAATACATTTTTGGTTGTAGATACACACAATATATTTATTTATTTATTTATTTTTATGTGGTGCTGAGGTTCAAACCCAGTGCCTCACACATGCTAGGCAAGTGCTCTGCCGCTGAGCCCCAGCCCCAGCCCTGAACATAATTAGTTTTAAAGCACTGAAGTTCCTGTGCTTTTCTTGGATTAGGATATCTACAAACAATGACACATTTATCCTCCATTCCAGTAGTAATAGCTCTTGTCTGTCTGTCTGTCTGTTTTGAGATGAGGTCTCAAATTCATAGACTAAAATGATCCTACCTCAGCCCCGCAATAGCTGGATCTGCAGGTGTGGGCCACTGTGCCCAGCTTGTTAACTATTTTGTTGTGCTGATTAGAATGTCTAGAGCAATGTTAAATAAAGAAATAGCAAGTTTGTGGACAGTCTTACTTTGTTCCGGACTTAATGGGACTATGTCTAGGACCTGATAGTTAAATGTCATGTTATCTGATGGTTTCAGATAAGCTATTCTTAATCAAGTCAAGAAAGAACCTTCTTATTTCTAATTGGTTAAAAAAAAAACACAAAAAACATCCAAATGGATATTGACTTTGATTAGGTTAAATTCTGGAAGCTTTTCCTTGGGATATCCAATGATGATCTAAGTGGTATTGACTAGGATTCTATTTGTAAGCTTTTGCTTATTATTTAAAAAAAAAAAACAGCAAATTCACAGGTTGATTGACAGTAGGCTTTCTAAATGGATTATATGAAATGTTGAGGGGGAAGCAAGATTACTCAGCAAAATATATTAATGTTAAAAGGGACAACATGCAGGGCTAGGCAAGAGGAAAAGAGGAACTGTTGGTTATAATTTTATTTAAAACTTTTAAGAAGTTGTTTATTGTGAATAATTAAAGAGCTCAAAGGGAAGTCATTTAACCATAAAATTGTCAAGCAGAATTTCATTACAGCTGATTAAAAAAAAGACTTCACTGCTTTCGCTACTGATGGACTCCACTGTTTTCATACTTTACCTGGAAGATCTTCCTAATATCTGATCTGGATATTTCTTGCTAGGACATAGTCCTATTTCCTATTTACCCCTACTCTGCCTTTTTTTTTTTTTTTTTTTTTGGTACTGGGGAATGAACCCAGGGGTACTTTACCACTGAACCACATCCCCAGCCCTTTTAATTATTTATTTTGAGACAGGGTCTCGCTAAGTTGATTAGGGCCTTGCTAAATTGCTGAGGCTGGCATTGACCTGCTGATTCTCCCGCCTCAGGCATCCCAAACCACTGGGATTACATGTGCCACCACGCCCAGCTACCTTATTTTTAATGGAAGGAATTCTGCTACAAAATGAATGCAAGAATACATAGAGAATCTCACCCTATTAAAAAAATCTAGAATTCACACAGCCACTTGAGTGTATTCCACTGGATCAACGAAAGAAGCATTCACAGAAGTCCAGATTTTGGGCTTGGGTTTTTCTGGATTGACATTGACATAATCTGTAGCTTCCTTGATGTTCTCATAGTCCAGGACAGATTCAGGGGCTGAAAAGACCACTGGTGTGTAATTCACATCCTTGATGGCCTGAGGAAGACAACAGAAACACACAGGTCAAGGTTTCTACCCTGTTTGGAGGAGGTCAGACCCTCAGAGGGAACTTGAGCCCAAAGAAGCTGCTCAAGGCTTGGTGGGAAAGGACCCGGATGGATCCAGGTGGCTGTCTGAGAGCAGGGCAAGGGCCATGAGGAGGGTTTCCAGTGACTGTGTTCTGTATGTCTTCAGGGAATGGGCTAAAGGATGAGCAGGTGGGAGGCGATGGATGACAGGGAAATGCAGACACTTGATTCAAGTGAGGTCAGGACTCAGTAGCTTTGGGTCCCAGTGAGTAGTTTCCTATTAGCACTTTCACTTTTATGGTCTGCTCGCACTCCCTTCATTTGGTGGATCCATGCTAATATGGGGCTGTGGGCAGAAGCCGGACCACCCTCACCCAGGGACGCTCTGAGGACTCACCCAGCCCTCCTTTTTTGCTCCCGCCTCCACAGCTGGGGTGTCCAGAGCTCCCAGTTTTACAGGGACCCTAGGTTTCCTATGGAGGAGTGCACATTACTAGGAATTTCATTACCTGGAAGGTGGAAGGCAAGGTGGCAGGGTTGTTCAAGCTGACAGAACTGACGGAGCTGTCTGAGGACGTGTTGCTCTCGTCTGGGGAGAAATAGAAATGATTCCTCCTCCAAAGAAAGTTGGGGAGTGTTAGGAGAGGAGAGTGACAATGGAAGGGAGACTGAGACAACAGCAGAGGCAGAAGCAGCAATGCAAAGAGGAGAGGGGACAGGAGAAGCAGAGCCCCAAAAGAGAAAGAAGGGGAAACAGGGACAGGGTGGGTGGTGGGTAAGAAGCCAATAGTAGACAGCAGCTTCCTGCCCAGGGTCCAGGTACTGCTGCTCCGTCAGCTCATCTAAAACTAACAAAGCCCACGGTCGGCTTGCCCGTGCCTAGGCAGGACTATCTGCCAGAAAAGAAATCAGCAGGGTTGCACCGAGGCAGCATGGCCCGGTCCCAGCCACAGGTTCCAGTCCAAAGCTATCACCAGCTCTAGACAGGTTGTATCTCTTTTGTGCCCTGACATTTGTCCTCTGCAAAGCCAGAGGGCTACGCAGTGATTGCCGAGGTCCCTGCTAGCCAAACAGTCTGATTCTGGCCAGGATTGGGGGACACTCGGAGGCCAGAGGTCAGGGTGAGGCCAGCATTTCCTCTATTCTGCCAAAACTCTGAAGGCCCGAGTGGCACCTTCTGGTTCCCATGATCTCAAGGCCTTCATTATCTCAACTGTGAAAAGATAAGATCAGAAGGACTGAGCAAAACGCAAACCAATCCAGAGATAAACCCATGGAAAAAGTGCAATCTCTGGAATCTCTGGTGAGTGGGCCCCAGTGGGGCTGCTGAAGTGGTAGTTTCCACCTTGTGGATGGATAGTGACCTATTGGGTCTCCCAACCCTTGAGATAAAAAAACCAGAGGGTGGGGCTTAGGTGGAGCTTGGTGGTAGAGTGCAAGCTCAGCAGGTGCATATGCTAGGCCCTGGGTTCCAGCCACAGCACAGGGGGAAGAAAGGAAAAAGAGAAAGAAATAAAATAAGACCTGAGCACAAAACCAAGAGGGTGATGGATGGTGCCCCTGGGTTTAGTGAAGGAATTGTCACCAAGACTTGCATTCATTCAAATTCCCAGATACCCAGGCAGTCTCAGCCCAGGATGAAGTGTCACCATGGGGAATATGAAGGATCCAGCTTCTAGAAGCAGCCAATGAACTTGCCAGGTGGTATGATGCCCAGTGACCACCATGGCTGGAGGCAGGCAGAGGCAGTCAGAATCTTAGCTCCACTATTAGCTGGCTCAGCAGAAGAGGCCATAGCCTTAGAAAGAGAGGAGCCAGCCCACAGGTCCCTATAATCCATTATTCACACACACGACTGGACTGAGACCCACACGAACCCCCAGGAGTCTTTCTCTCTTTTCAAATAGGATGAGTAACTATTTGAAAAAGGCAGGCTGGTGAGGCCTGCTCTGAGTCCTTGTGAGAGATCCTCAGGCTAGAAGTTTGGGTGGCAGGGATGAACATGGGTTGCTGCAGAGATACTCCTGCATGTCCAGACACAGCACAGTAAGCTTCAGGACAAGTTCTCCCCTGCCTCCTACTCACGCCTGTATTGGGGAGCAGACTCTTTCCAAGTCTCTTTGGCCAAAGGGAAGGGATGGGGAGCAGAACTAGGCTCCCGGACCTGGAGTCTGGCTTCTTTCAGTATCCGTTCACTCTGGTGGGCTGGAGGGGAGAGGGCCAGGTTGAAAGCAAAAGAAAACTGAATTAGTGATGTCTTCTCTTGAATTAAGTACCTCTGAACCCTCAAAGGGAGACCCTTCCAGGATCCCTTGAAATCTCAGCTCTGCTGTGCTTCAAACCCCACAATGGCTCCAAGCCTCACTTAGAATAGAAGCCCCTGTTCCAGCCTCTGAGACCCTCTGTGGCCTCACTGCCCTTCCTCTCCATCCCTTCTCCTGCAGCCTCTTGGCTCTCGCCAGAGTGTGCCCGACATGCTTCTGCCCCAGCCTTTGCAGGAGTGGCTCACTCCTCATTTCCTACAAATTTATACTCAGATGTCAGCACCTTAGGGACACTGGCCCCTTCTCAGCTCCTAGCTTCTTGTCTTGCTTCCTCCCCAGGATTTATCTTTACCTAATGTACATGTGTGTGATTTGTTTATCTTGTTTGATGTCCCATGGAGCAGAAATTCCAGGAGATAGGAATTTGTATTTGCTATGTTTCATATAGGCTGGGCTTAGACAGTGCCTGAGATGCTCAATAAATATCTGTCACATGGATGAATGAGCATACAAACGAATGATTCAATGGAGAAGCCTAGACTTTCTTTTCTGGAAAAATCCTCAGAATATCATTCTGCCTCATAGCCTGTCTTAGCCAAAGCACCATTATTTTTCCTAATAGTAAAGCTTTTTCATAACAGAGTTTCTCTACCTACATTCTTCTGTAGATCATTTTAAGAATTTCAACTCATGTCTCAGTCTAATTATCTTTCTTTCTGTTGCAATTTAAGACCCTTTTTCACATTCAGTCCTTCAGCATGATGAACAAAACTCATTAGGCTCAGGTTAAGGGAGCCCTCTTCCCCAAGCACAAGGAAGCTGGTCTCCAGACAGAGAGTCCGGGTGTGGGAGGAGCCTGGGCTGTCATTCCCAGTGAGAAATAGGTTGGGTAAAAGGTGAGGTCAGAGAGGGGATTGCCCGGGGCAGTGTGGTGGCAGGTAAGTGGTGCCAGGAATCTGGTCATTGGGTCCTCAAGTAGGTTTTCAAGAGATAGCTCCCAAGGGGTCTCATCCTCTACAGGATTAGGAACAGTCTCCTAGGGTAACTGGGAGGGGCAGGGGGACAAAGCCAGTTACCTATGTTCCTGCTGAGCAGGTAATTGAGGGCCATGAGGAGACAGATCTGGAGGAAGAGGGACAACACTGCAATCACTAAGCCATGCCACAGCTTCATCTCTCTGTTGGGAAAGGAGAAGGGTGAAAGTCAGAGATGGCAGTGATGTCAATGGTTGCAAAAGGTAGCCCTTCCCCAGATGGAAGCAGATATTGGGCATTGTTGGGGGCTTCAGGGCAGATCCTTTTGCCTCTGGACAACATGGCTAGGGTAGCCAGGAAGGGTGTGCATGCCGGGTGGCCAGCTACACCAGTGAGCCTGGTGGAAGCCCCCTCCAGTTTTTCTTGGGCTCACTCACTCTGTCAGCATGATGAGCTTCTGGCTGAGCTGCCGCTGGTGTAAATGGGGCTCAGACTTTTTCCAGGGCAAGCAGGAAGAGACCCGGGGTGGACCTGTTCCTGGAGACCTGCAGGGGTGGGGCAAGGAAGTGGTCAGGACTCTTGGGCTTTATGCCAAATTCCCCTCAGGCAATCTTGGCTGCTTGGGGGTCATTTGCTTTCCTCTCCCCAGATTTCAGGTTTTGAATGCACAAAATAGGTGTATTAATGTTAGTACCTAATAACCACTCACCCTCAGTGCCAGCCACTACCTGGCACACCCTCCACCTTCCCTATTCTGGATAGCAATGCTATGAGAGAAGCGTAATTATTATTCTTTTATTGCAATCAAAGGAGATGCAGAGAGATGGGTGGTGTTTAAGGTCAGAGGCCTGGAAAGTGATCAGGCCTGACTTTGAGCTCTAAGTCCAAAGCCTGAATCCAATCTGAGTGCTCTGCTCCTACAGAACCTTAACCAGAAGCAAATGGTTAAATGGGGCTAGAAGCAAATTTCCTGAGCAAAGAACACTGGTATAGAATCTTTGAAGATGTCCAGATCTTAAGTGTACACACCCAGGCTCGTACACCAACAGGCTTATGCATTCACACACCACGCAGCTTCAGTGTGGGCTTTAGGATTGCGGAAGCTGTTACACCCTCACAAGTGCATTTATTTTAAAACACCAGTGTACGAATTCCATCCGCTTATTGTTGAATGTGGAGTTTTTTTAGACGCAAAGAAAAGAATCAGTTTAAAGCCCTTGAAATGATATTTATTGAGCACTGAGATGGGGCTCTGTACCGCCCCCCCCCCCCCGCAATCTTCTTGCTGCAGACCGTAAACCTTAAAAAAACTTTTGACTGCTATGAATGGTTATTTTCTCAATCAGGGTTTCCAAGTGCAAAGGGCAATGAAAAAAGACTGAGCTTTTATTTGTAGTCCTCACACTGGGGCTTCTAAGGAAATAATGGTGGGGAGGCAGGTGTGCCTGCAGGATTTGCCATCATTGCCTTTCCATGGCCTTGTGAGCTCTGGCCACTGGAAGTCTCCAGAGAAGATAAAACCATCTCCTTGACACCTTTCACACAACAACCACCTAATCCTTGGGAATGACCTTTCTTTGGAGGGAGGTCAAAAGATGAGCAACACGTGCCCTGTTTATCCATCCTATTTGCACACCATCTTCTATAATCAATCCTAGACACTTCTCACAGAGGACCCTGTCTACCATTTGCTTTTTATTTAAATAAGCAAAGCCACTTACATCGTCACTCCCAAAGAATTCTATTTAGTTTGACTTACAAAGGTGGAGTCAGGATGCAGACATGAATTCTTTGTTTTATATAAATTCAGTATGTGAGGTGGGGGTGAGAATGTCCCAAGTGGGAGAAGGCTCCTGGCTGGGGATTATGGGACCCTTATGATGGAACCCTACTATATGGGTCCCAGCACCCACCACTGCAGTGCCAGGAAGCACCACATGGTCACCTGGTTATCATCAGGGCTTCTCCATTCTTCCTGTAGGACACCTGACCTCAGAGTACTCTGGCCATGGTAAGGAGCCCAGCAAAGGGGGCAGCCAGTGTGTCACCAGGGCTGTGTTACCATCCACATAATGAACTTGATGATTTTAATTTCTTTCTTTCTTTTATTTTGTGGTGCTGGTGCTGGGGATTGAACTCAGTGCCTTGTACATGTGAGGCAAACACTCTACCAACTGAGCTATAGCCCCAGCCCCTGATGATAATAATGTATTAAGGCTATTCTCCTACTTAATTTATGAAGAATTACTATATATATATATATATATATATATATATATATATATATTTGTAGCCTAAGTATTAAAAATATTCATGAGCACAACATTTTATAAAATCACCACAAACATTTTATGAAATCATCCTATTTCATATGCATCCAATTTTTTTCTACACATTTTCACATACATGTACCCCGTATATGTAGGTGAAAATATGTACAATTATATACAATCTTTTAAAAACATGGGATCATACAGATTGGTAGGTGTTCCCCCCACTTAATATATTGCAAATGTATTTCCAGATCAGAAAAACCTTAGCTAAAAGGCCTCTCACTGGGGACCCCCTGGCTAAATGAGTCACTGAGATGATTGTTGTTCCATAGTGTGTTTTAAAGATTTGAGTTTGGATTTTGTAAAATGGAACAGGTTCTCCTCAATTCCTGACTGATCCCTGAAGGTATTTGAGCCTGCCATGTCTGGGTTTTATAATAACATCACTTTAAATTATAGTTGTCCCTCAGTGTCCTTGGGGGGATTGGTTCTAAGACCCCCCCAATGCCAAAAATCTAAGGATGTTTAAGTTCTCTATACTTTTGTATACTTTAACTCATCTCTAGATTGCTTATGATACCTAATACAATGTCAATACTAAGTAACCAGTTGTTTTACTATATTTTTAAGGAACTAATGACAAGAAAAAAGAGGGTGTGTGTTCAGTAGAGACACTATTTCTTTTTTGAATATTTTTCTATTTGTAGCTGGCCTGAATCCCCAAATGCAGAATCTACAGATACGGCATGCCAACTTCACGTTCCACTCCACTAGTGGTTCCTAGTGCTATCTGACATTTGGGGCTAGACAAGGCCTTCTTGTCTTGCACCATTTTGCACACAGCAGGACATAGAGCATCCCAGAAGCCCATGGATGTAACAGGTTGATGTAAAAAACAAAATGACCCCACACATTTCTAAATGTTCCCTGAAATAAGAAAATTTTTCTCCAAGTGGAAAATCACTACATTGGATAGATGTCCTATTTGTCTTATTTTGGCTCTTCATACAAAATCTACATTGCCCAGCCTTCCTTCCACCATTACCATATATTATGAGTACATTACCAGCCAAGGGACACACGGCCACTATGTTGAATGACAGCAACAGAAGCACAGACATCCAAGAGACCTCAACACAGATTCCAGTTCTGTCCTCTTCTAGCAGTGAGTGATCGAACTCCCCAGTGCCTTGGTTTCAGTGTCTGTTTAGTGGGAAGAATAACAGTATTTATTTCACAGAGTTCTTGGGTGGGCTCAGTGATTTATGCTATTTGTAAAGAACTTATTTTTATGATGCCAGGCACATGGGAAGCACTCAATAAATATTTTTAGGTATTCTTGAACTCTAAAGCACTCTACCATGATGGAGACTAGAGCTGTTAAAAATTGGGTTGGTTTTGTCGTAGGAAACTTAAGACATTTTTTTTTTTTAGTACAGTTTGGAAACAAGATCTAGGACAAGATGAGGTATGAAAATTATGAAAGATGTCATTATTTAAGTGGCTAATGGCCCCAAACCACAATAAGTAGGTTGTTCTCCAAGGCCTAATTACAGATTGCTGATCAGGCCATATGTTCATACACACACACACACACACACACACACGCCAAATCAGCAACAGAAGGTAATTACATCGTGCGCCTGGACCATGTGGGGGTTTCGTTTGCCCTGTTCCATCATCGAGGTAGCGACTGTCCTGTCCTCTTTCACTGTGCTGAATTTTGACACCCAGACACACACTAATGTTGTCCTCAGCCAGGTGCCTCACAACCACGCTGCATCTGGGTGCTGGGAGCATTTTCTTGGATTGTTTCGCACTGGTACATAAGGCTGGATTCCATTTTATTAAGTTCCCCTCTTTTGCTTGGGAAGGCTCTTCCTGGTGAGCTCCCTAATAGGGCCAGCATCACATCAGAGATGGGACCAAAAGACTGACAGTTGGTTTTCTTTGAATAGATTCATTCTAGAAAGAATGATTTAAAATGAGGTCACACTAGAAAATTTTATGAAAATCAAATGGACTAGAAGAAACAATCAATCCTGTTAGTATGGCTCTATTACTCCTTTAAAATTAAGTGCCATCATTAGTTTATTGTCTTTAAAATTAACTGCGGTATAATAGAGAAGAAAACAGGGAGGGGGTACCTGAATTTTCCTGGCTGAGTTACTTGCTAATTGTGTGTCCTCAGCAAAATACTCCTGATTTTTTTCCTACATATATATATATATATATATATATATATATATATATATATATATATTTTTTTTTTTTTTTTGTACCAGGTATTATTGATCTCTGGGATCAATAAAGGGTGTTTAACCACTGAGCCACATCCCCACCCCTTCTTATTATTATTTATTTATTTTTTAAAATTTTGAAACAGGCCTTGCTTTTGCTGAGGTTGACTTGGAACTAGCAATGCTCCTGCCTCAGCCTCCCAAGCCACTGGAATTACAGGCATGTACCACTGCAAGTATTTTGTGTGTGTGTGTGTGTTTTAAACGCTGGAGTAGGGGGAGGTGAAAAAGAAGCAAAATTTAACTTTCCTATGTTCATATATGAATATACGACCAGTGAAACTCCACATCATGTACACCTCAAGAATGGGATCCTAATTAGAATAAGTAATACTCCATATAGGTATCATATGTCAAAACACACTCTACTGTCATATGTATCTAAAAAGAACAAATAAAAAAGAAAAATAAATAAATAACAAGCAAATGAAACATTTTTTAAAAAAAAGTAAAGTTGGATGGAAATGAAAGATTTAAAAAAATAAAATCTTTACTTCTATTTTGCATCACCCACCCTTCCCCACATTACCAGACTTCTCTCCCCCAATTTAATATGCAGTTTCAAATAACAAAGAAACAGAGGAAACACAAACCAAGTTAGTAACATTCAGAATGTAACTATAGAAACAGAAGAGATAAAAAGAAAATTGTGAGATAAGGAAGGCTGATTTAGGAATCTCAAAAAAAAATTAATGATTTCCTAGGAAATAAAAATTAGCAAAATTTATTCCATAAGGCACAGAAAAATTAAACAGACCAAAAAAATAAGAATAAAGTTTGGTCAGCAGCTTGGTATTCATCCACCCAAGGCAGAAAACCCAAAGAGAGACTGCTGGGGTTCACCTCCTAGCTTTCTCTCTCTAGTTATTTAAACTCTGAAAACCTCAGTCTTCTTAAGCACAAAATAGGAACAATGATAACTAATCTCAGGATCAGATAAATATAAATGATACCTATTTCTAAGGATGATAAGATCTGTAAAATAATTATAGCTTTTGAGTTATAGTAATAAGCATTCAATAAATGCCATCTATTATTATTTTCCTTTTTTTTTCTTTCTTTCCCTTTTTTTTTTTGCCATGCTAGGGACCAAATCAGTTATTATTTTAAAATGAAAAACACTTTAGAATTATTCCCCCAAATTTGTATTCTAGATGGTGTTACCAATGAATTACTTCAACGTTTTAAGGAACACATAATTTGTACAAAATGTGAACTAAACAGGGTCCAGAAAAACCTCCAAGTTCATCTCACTTATAAAGAGGCTATATCAAGAAGTTAGTCCAGACACTTCTAGGAAATCAACTGTTATGGTAATAAAAATTAAGATTGAGTATTTATCATGTGTAAGAGTCGATGTTACCCTTTCATAGACAAAGAAACTAAGGCTTAGAAAGTTTGAGCAATTTGCGGTCCCCAGCTGAAAGGGTCATGTTTCAAAGACCATCTGACCCAAAGGCCGCATCTTAACAATTCCATTTATCTAATTCAAATATGACATCAATTGATTAAAAATTTTAAATGATTGATCTCATTAAAGGCCAACAAGCATTTAAGAAAATCTAATATCCCTTTCTGATTAAGTCAATAAAATAAAAGCATCAGAATTTTTTCTTACTTAAAGATTATCCTGCACCATCAATCATTATCTTACCAAATAGTAAACTATTTCAACAGTTATTTGAGAACAAGAATGTCTGATGTAACAAAAGAACCCTAGAAATTCTAATTCCTGGAAGTTGGAGTCTCCTCCACTTCTAAAAATAATCAGGACATTGAATATTTACTGGGTGTGTTCTATATGACAGATGCTTTTATGTATAGAACTCATCTAATCCTCACGACCACCCAGGAGGCAGGTTCTATTATTATTTCCAATTAATAGACAATAAAACTAAGATACATAGAGAGATTTGAGATGTAAAAAAAAAAGTAATGAGGCTTTGTGCTCAGGAAGGCTGGGGTTGGAGCCTGAGTCAATAAATTGAGGAGCAGTTTAGGGCAAAGAGAAGTTATCCATCTTTCTTTGAAAAATATGTGATCTTATGCCTAGAAATTCCAAAAGAACTTTTTGTAAGACTGGTAGAATTAATGATAACACTCAATAAAGTCTATGGCTGTGATCAATACTCTAAAATTATGAGCGGTTCTCTCTATTGTACTAGTAATGGCCAGAAAATAGAATGGTGGGGGGGAAATACCATGATATTTGGCAATAGAAATATCTAAAATTAGTCTTAATTATAGAAAACAATTCTGAAGAAAATAATAAAAATTTACTGAGAGACATGAAAGACTTAAGCTAATAGGAAAACACTAAAGCTAGAACAGTTTAAAAATCAGTTTTGAAATTAAATTATTGGCTCCATATAATTCCAATAAAAAGTACAATGAGTGGGTTCTTTTTCTTTGACCTTGAGATTATTTTAATGTTTATCTGGTAAAATATAATAATTGAGAAGAATTGAAGTGCATTTGCAGAGGAATAGTGACAGGTGGGTTCCTGACTAGCACTTTTTAAATGTAGTATAGACTTAAAAAATATGCTGCTGTGTACAATAAATATGTCATTAAAGCGTTTCAAAAACCAATGGAGGAAAGGAAAGCATATTTAACAAATGTTGTGCACAGGACAATGGATTAGGTACTTATAACAAAAAAGAAAACAACTCAGATCCAGGTTTATTTTATTTTATTTATTTTGTTACCCATGTGATAATAAAGTAAATTCCAAAAGGATTAAGGAGGTAAATGTTTTAAAATTGGCCATTAAAATGAGATGGAAATAGAAATGGATATTCATATATTTAATAATATTTATTAAATCCCTGGATGAGAGAAAACTTTCTTAGTTGATATGCAATGGAGGAAATCACAAAGGAATAAATGAAAAATAGATTTGTCTTTAAAATACTAAAACTTCTTATGTTAAAAATAAAAGGCAAACAGATAAAAAACTAGAACACATGTGGCAAACCATAATTTTAAAGTGTTCCTCCTTTTCATTTATTTTAAGAAAAAAAAGCTACACTCCTCAAATGATATACTGGTGAAGGATGTGGAACAAAAAATTCACAAATGATCTATATCAGGACCAAAGCTGTTATTGGGGGGGGGGGGCGGGGGGGAAGCTCCATTCTGAGTCAATTATTTGAAAATAAACTAAGTTTTAAAAATGGAAAGTGTTCTAAATAAAAAACAAAAATTAAATATGTTATGGTTAAGGTATCAAATGGAATATTTACAGCCTTAAAAAAATGAGATTTAGGAAGAATTTATCTAGCGAAAGGATTCGTCTATAAAAATGTAGAGTACATATATGTGTTATAAGAATTGTAATGCATTCCACTCTCATATACAAATAAAAAATTAAAATATGTGGATTATTCTTTTAAAAAGGTAGAATACAGTTGCATTTATCAGCATACAATAGTCTTATACTGTATAAAAAATAAACATAAAAAGAAGGAAAATTTGCAAAGAGAAAATTCTAGGTCATTAAATGTCTCTTGTTATCACATTAGTTCAGTAATAACCCACCCAATTAATCTAATTGTGTTTATTAACAGTAATTCATTAGCAATAATTTTATATATTGAATGCAGATTTATTCACAGGTATAACTTTATGGAAAATAAATCAGGGATGTTATTTAAATGTACTTTGTTCATAAAGGGAGACTGGGAATAAATGTTAAATGTTAACAAAACTGGGTATTGGGGTTGTTTATAGCATCTTTTTAGTTATTTTACTTGGTGTCCCTTTCAAACTTTTCAGTAATTAACATGGATTGTTTGTTTGTTTTGTTTTGGTGCTAGAGATTGAACCCAGGGCTTTATGCTTGTTGAACACTCTCTCTACCATTGAATTATACCCCCACCCTTCAATTAATTTTTGTAACTGATAAAATTATATACATTTATTGCATACTGTATCTTGTTTTGAAATATATTTACATTGGGGAATGATTAAATCTAGCTAATTAAAATATACATTATTTCACATATTTTATGCCAAAAACATTTAAAACCTACACTCATAACAATTTTCAATAATATAATACATTCTCATTAACTAAACTTTAAGGCTGTAAATATTCCATTTGATACTCATAACAATTTTCAATAATATAATACATTCTCATTAACTAAACTTTAAGCCAGTTTGTAGTTATTGCCATACTGGGGATCGAACCCAGGGCCTTGTGAGCTAGGCACACACTCTACCATTGAGCCACACCTCAGCCCTCAAAATAAGTTTTAAGACATTGAGAAAAGCCCAGGTTTTCCAAGTGTCTTAAATTAGCATGACACCAAGTCTGTCTACACAAATTTTATCTCCCTATGTTAATAGAACATTGAGGCAATTGGCTAAATTTCTGCATTTTTATCAATCTGATATTTATTGAGTGGTCTGTGTGCATGGACCTGGGTGAATTACTCTGTTGGCATGAAGAAAGGGAGAACATGCCTGTGCTTTTAAGAGCTCATATTTGTTTGGAAAATTGAGACATTAATATGTGAAAAGGCAAAGAGATGTCATAGATGAAGAAGAATGAGTTGCCAGAGGAGAGCTGTCAATCAGACACAGCACTTCAGCAGAAAAAGAGATCCCTGTGGGATAGAGTGTTCAGGGAAGAGTCACTGAAGGAATTATCTGATGGGTGGATGAATGGATGGATGGAGAGAGGGAGGCTGGCAATACATAGAGCTAAGGCGGTCTGCCAGTCCTGGAGGTACCACACAGCTTTAGTGGAATTGGTTGTTTTTCACAAGTTTGATTTAAATTTGACCTCATGCAAATAAAATAATGCAGAAAATAAAATAATGCAGAGAAAGCTGAGTACGTTGCAAAGCAACCACTCCAGTAATTAGGGAAACAGTAAGGAGCAGGAATTTAATAGCCCTGTAGAGGGGCTTGGAATTTTAGCTCTGTCCTTTCCAGCTGTGAGCTGCTTTATCTCTCTCACCTCAGTGTCACCTCTGTAAAATGGGGATGGCACTTGTTTTTCTTCTTTTTTTTTTAACACATACACTTTGTGTGTTTACTCTATATGTGCCTGCATCATGAAAAAAACATTTTATACGAATTATTTTTATTTTATTTATAACTTTATGAGGTAGCTACTATTGTTTTCCTCATTAAAAACAAAACAAACAAAAACAAGACAAAACTAAAAAGTTTTAGTTCCCAAGGGGGCTTGGGGCAGACCCTTTGCCATACTGTGTGCAGGATGTAAATTGTTGAGCAGAGTGCATGGCATATATGGGGTAGCTCAACAGGAACTGATCCTCAGCCCAGAGCAGTGTTCAACCCCAAAATGGCTTGGCCATATAAATACACACATTTCCATAGAATTCTATTTAAAAAAAAAAATAAAGCTAAGCTCACTCATGATTTTCAGGTGGCGGGGGCGTATGTAAGAAAATCAGTGTATGAAGCCCCTATTCCTAAACCAGCCCTGCCACCATGACTGTCAACATGTCCTCTCACCACGGAACAGAGAAGGTGGAATGGCCTGGTTGAGGAAAGGAAGGAATGGAGTCTGCCAGCCACCCTGGGGAAGAGCATGGCAGAGGGTTAGGGTGTCAGAGAAATCTTCTGTTTGGCTCTGATCACCCATCAGGGGTCTTACCCTAGGAAGTTAGGAGTCATCTGGAACAGGAAATGAGAACTAGATGAACATTCTGACTCAGCAACGTTATAAATGGGTTATCTTAAGCATGGAGCCTCAGTTTCCTGGGATGGGGTGGGTTAAATGGATTTGGTACTGAAATTTTGTCATTCTAAAATTCCGTAAGTCTAAAATTGACCTGAAGAAATGCATTCTACTGTTATATATAATTCATTAGCACAAATAAAAAAATATTTTAAAAAAATAATAAAATGAACTTTTAGGGTGAAACTCAGATTAACCAGAAAGAAACATTGAGTCCCCACGAGCTAAGCCGCACCTCCAGTCACACTTATTTCCAGGTGCAAGCACAGTAATTGCAGGGAAAGCTTTTTTTTGCAAGAAATTTCCTGAGCTGAAAGCAACTTCATTCCAAGATTGAAACAGCAAGAACACAAAAAATTGCAAACGACTTGAACAGTATTTATGGGTGCATTTTGCTAGTTCCCATTAATCTCCAGGTTCACCTGGAACTAGCTAAGTGAATTATTTTCTATTTCATACACTGGCCAACTAAATAGAGATGAGCCAACTAATTTCATGGAAACGAAACACCTTCTAGAGATTATGCTCAGTTTGTGAGCTCTGGCGGTTAGGACCTTGTCCTTGTTTCACACCTCACATTTCCTAACACGGTTCTGAGTGACACTGGGGTGGTGGTGGGAGACTTTGTAACACAGTTTACACATTGCAATTGGATCAATTTTACGTAACCTTGTGAGGGGGGCTCTCACTAGCCCTGAGCCTCAGTTTCCTCCTCTTTTAATTGAGAAGTCAAATGTCCCCCTCCCAGAATTGTCGAGGGTTACATGAGGCCATAGAATGTTCCAGCATTTTCCACCTCATTGTCAGTACACAGGGCCAGGCCTGACTTCATGGGTTTGCCATCTAGTCTGACTTGTGCTCACAAGGGTCCTGTGATTACCTTAATGTTTTCCTGTTCTCATCTTTAAATCCTTAATAATTTTTGAACAAGGGACCCCAGACTTTCATTTTGCATGGTGGTCCCAACAATATGTAGCTGATTCTATTCAAGGCATTGTACTGGGTACGATTGCCAAATCTCACACCACGAGATTGATACACACAGCACAAGAAGCGGGGTTGGCCAGTTAACAAGCCTTCGCTGTCACCTATTCCATATTGCCAAGCACTGTGCAGGTCACTGTGTGACCTGAGTCCCTCCCAGGCTGGGGAGATGAGGGAGAAGGGCCTGGTCTCAGGAGGCTCATCTATGCTCAGGTTCTCAGATGAGTTTTCCCTCAATGATTCAGTCAAGGCACTAAATGCCTTGGTGCCTCCATTTCTTCACCTGTTAAAGAAGAGCTTCCCATGGCACATGCTTTGGTTGTGAGGATTCAGTGAAGCCCTAGAACAGCGATTGGCAAGCACTAAGCTCTGCTTCAGGGTCAGCCATTACTGCTTCCTGTCATTATTGGCTTTACCTTGCCCAGATGTTTGCATTTTTTTTTCCATTATCTGACTTCCATTAATGACATTTTTAGGCTCCCAAGCTGGCCCCTGTCCCTCCACATATGACTAGTCCCTTGCAGCTCAGAGCAAATTTCAAGGAATATATACCTGTGGAGAGATTTTTTTCTGAGATCTGTTCCCAGTTGACTTCAAAAGAAAAAGTAATAGCTACTGCAGACGGAGTGCAGACAAAGTGCTGTCCTGGTACTAGGTGTATGTGTCTGAATCCTTGTAGCAATCCTATGAGGTGAGTCTTCTTATACCTATTTTGCAGATGAGAAAACAAAGGTTCACAGGAGTTTAGCAGAGTAGGGATTTGAAATCAGTTTTTTCTGCACCCCAAATCCACACACCTTCTAGCTAGAGCCCTGATAGCTGCTACTGCTAATGCAAACAGATCTCAGGTCTCAGGAACAAGAGATGTTTGCCCCCAAAGTGTGCAAAGTACTGAATCTTAGGCTCACTTCATGCCAATTGCAAATTAAATTCACACCCTGGAATCCCAACATGGAATCCCAGAGTCACACCTGTACACATTCACAGACAAACACATATCCTACAAATTAATCTAAAATCCTATCAATGCGGACAGTACTTACCTCTGTGGCCATAGGCAAGTTCTGATCCCAATCCACAGGTCACTGAGGTCCTAATGGAAACATCCTTCCACCTAGCCCCACCCAGAACCTTCTCTGTCACTGGAAGTCAGTCACAAACGTTTCATCATTTCCAACAAACACGCTGCTAGGAAGATTGCAATCTAGCTCAGTGGGCGCAGCAGGTGAGGCACAGATAATATCTCCTGTCCCTTTTGGTCCTGCTCTGCTCTGATCCCTGAGTCGGTTTGTGTCGATGAGGGAGATTAGTAATCTCTTTTCTCATGTTTGCACACATTTATGTACTCCAAATATGCCCACAGTCTGGAGCAGTGGAGAGAACACTGCATGTCAAGTCAAGAGGCCCGGATTAAGTACTAGCTCTGGCACCAGTTTGCTGTGTGAGCTCACAACTGGCTGTCCCCCCAGGGACTCATGTTCTTCCTCTGCAGCTTGAAGAAGCAGGGCTTCAGCTACTAGCAAAGATCCCTTCCAGACTGGCTCATCTCCAAACCTGTACATGATGTGGCTGTTGCATGGGAGAGTACACATGGGATGTAGGGCAATGGATGAGGATAATTTTTCAAGGACCAATTTTTTGCCTATAAGCATCAAATGAGACGAACCTAAACTGACTTAGTGTCAGGAAGGGGAGGAATGTCAGTTTTAGGCTCTTTGGGGATCTCAGGCTAAAGCCCTAAGATCTACAGTTGGGAGTAAGGAGGAATGGAAGGATGATAAGATAACAGATAGTTTTAAAAAGAAAGGAAAACTTTACGGGCCTGTGTGATGTCACCCGTGCTCACAACAAGTTGGCCAGTGCAAAATAATGGCCTTCAAGTTCAATATTTCAAATTGAATACTGGCTCCATTTCTTAGTAGCTGGGAGAGTTGGGAGAAGTTACTTAACCTTTCTGATCTTAAGTTTTAATCTAAAAATTGGGTTAATAATAAATATCTAATTTAAAAAAAAATTCTCATAAGGTTGACTAAAGTAAAATAATATAAATAAGTAAGTGAGGTACCTTAGCCTAGGGTTCTTTTTGGAAAACAAAAATGGTAGCTATTAGGCTGAGCACGGTGACCCATGCCTCTAGTTCCAGCTTGGGAGGGTGAGGTAGGAGGATCATGAGTTCAAAGGCAGCCGCAGCAAGTTAATGGGGCTGTAAGTAATTCAGCAAGCCCTTGTTTCTAAATAAAATACAAAAAAGGGCTGGGAATGTGGCTCAGTGGTTGAGTGCCCCTGAATTCAATTCTTATACAAAAAAAAAAAAAAAAGAGTAGCTATCAGCATTTTTAGCCTCTCAAGCCTGGTGAGAAAGATGCCCCTTGGGACAAGTTCTTCTCAGGGCTTTATGAGGCATTGATTGTCCCAGCTCTGTGAAGTCTTGTCTGTGGCTGTAGTTTTTTTTTTCCTTCATGTGGCTTATGTTAAGAACATGTGGCCCTTTATCACTGGGGGCTTCAGGAATGCACAGGGACACTGGCAGCTGTAGGATGGATTTCCTAACAGGGCCCCCCACACTCACGTCCGCCCTGCTGTATCAATAATACATTTCTCTCTGCTCCAGACTCAGGTGTCGACTCTGCATTTAATTAACTTGAGCTACAACTAACCTGAGCAAATGAAGCCATGATTCTTGACTTGCTATTTCTATGACCGTTGACATGAATGCCGTGTAGAAAAGGCAGTAGCCCAAGCCACGAAACACCCACACCGCTCTGGGACCAGAACCTTCCAGGATGCTGCCTGAGGCTCCCAGTGCCGTGTCGTTGTTGACGAAGACCTTTAAGACCACACACTTCAGATCCTCCATGTGGGATTTTAGAGCTCCTCACTTGATAGGGGACTAAGACTGGACAGGTTGACGATGTGTCAGAAATGGTGACAATAGGTACACAATGGTTTAATAGGTACACTCTGGTGCACATGCTCACAGTGTCTAGTAGAAAGTCCACTGGACTTGACCTTCAGTGACCTGGAGATCTGAGACATCTCTGAAGGTTTCCTTTTGTATACTTACAAGAAAGTTTTATTTTATTTTATTTTATTTTGGTGCTGGGGATGGAACTCAAGGCCTCACACATGCTAAACTCATGGTCTACCACTGAGCTACACCCCAGCCTCTATAAGGAGTTTTGATTCAGTCAAATCCAGCAGCCTTTCTGTTCTAAAATCCCGTGACTTTGTATGTTATTGTCATCCACAACCAGGCTCTATACAGCAGGGAGTGTCATGGAGGAACTATATCTTATTTTTCTCTGTATCCCATCCCCACAATTCTGCTGATAGCTAGTAGGTGCTCAGCAAATGTTTGTGGTGTGGATCAATGAGTGTGAATAAAAGTGTCCTGTAACATGCGCATGGCGTGTGCATGCAGCTCACACACTCCCTGAGCGCATGCAAACACAGACCCACGATGAGAAAGTGAATAGTTCACAAAGCCACCTTGCTTTTTCCTGCCCAGAGAACACTCGGGCCAGAGTTCCTGGTCCAGCGCTCCATCTGCCGAGCCCTGTGTGACAGGGCTGCACTTTGGGCTGACAGACTCCAACCTCAAGGTAGGATGTGAGGGGAGATCAGAATGATGATAAGCAAAGTTATGATATCTGTAACATCAACAGGAAGCTATTTGGGGTTTATCAGCTCATGGAGAAGCAGCTGAGATGGAGGTGGATAAGGACTCATCTCCCACCCCATCTCCACCCCATCTCCCTGTCAGCTGCCCTTTAGCAAGACAGTCTCCCTCCCAAGCATTTTATCCCCTTGCATAATGTCCCCAACATTTATGGGAGAACAAAGCTACTCTCTGTAGGAGAATCAATTTTCTTTTCTTTTCTTCCTTTTTTTTTTGGAGAGAGTTTGGTGTGTCGATTGGATTAGGGACAATTTGGAAAGGGGGGAAATCTACTCAACATCTAATCTCTCTAATCCATGTTTGTATCATACCTTGTCTCCATATTTGTATTTTAAAGATTAGCTTATTTTGTGCATTGTAGCAAATGAGATTTTTAAGACCCCAATTCCAGTTATGTCACTCTCTGCTCAAAAACTTTTAGTGGCACCTGGGGATTTTAGAGGCATAGTTCCTTGTCTATATGTGTAAAATACCCCAGCAAAGGTCTATGAAGGTTTCCTGCTCTCCGGAAGCCACCTACCTTTCCAGCTCTACCCGGCCACTGGCTTCTATTCTCTCTTCATGCCAGGCTCCCTCCTCCTCAGGGCCTGTGTCTCTGTGCCTGGACAGTTTATAACATTGTCAATGGCTACCTAATATCTCACTGATAAAACCCTTCGACACTGTAATGGACTCTTCTGTCTCTGCAGACGTGGGTCTGTTTTTTGTTATTTGTCTGGTGTTGCATTGTTGGCTTACTTTAGATTATCCCCTCAGAGTAAACATGAAGTTCCCTTTAACATTAGTTAAAAGGAAGGCTCTTACCTCACGTTGAACTTCTGCTTTCCAAAAGTCTGACTCATGGCAGCACTAGAAGCATTTGAGCAGATCTATTTCACTACAACCTGGATAGCAATGAATTCTCATTTTTAGTAATGACATAGTGTTCAATCCATGGGTGTTTTCATTCAAATCTGTTGATAATTAGGGTCATCCCGAATGTTTTTCTGTTTATTGAGCACCAGTCACTGTACCAGATGCTTCACAGACATTATTAACTCATTTAATTGTCACAACACCCCCACGGGGAAGATCCCGTGGATACTATTTTTAAATAAAGAAACTGAAGATTGGGAAGGTTAACGTGTCTATAGCCACAAAATTTGGGATTCAAATTCAGATCACATATTGTCATCATCATCATTGTCCCAAAGCCATTTTCCTTAAGCAGTATTTCCCCACCTTCTGTTCCCCCAGCTGACTGACTTTTGTGCACTCAGCATGACATGGCTTAATACGCAGGCCACCAGGCCGTGATCTAACACACAGGAAGCACCCAGCGCCACACCTCGATGGAAGCCACATTCTGTAGACAGTGGCTTCTTGCTCCCTGGTCACCTGCACCCTTCCCCTTCCTTCAAGATTCGACTTTTTGTTAATTAAAATTCTCTCTTCATACACTGTAGTTTAACCTAGTGAACGTTGAATTAAAATGCCCACCTCACAGAATTGTTCAAGATTCATTGAGTCCACATGAAGTGTTCTGCCAAACAGAAAACACTCTACAGTGTGAGGCTTTATTAATTTCAATAATAACAGGGGGAAGGGTAATGATCTCTAAGGATGTAGTGTCTTTTGAAGGTGATGAAAATGTGCTGAAATTGATTATGGTAGTAGCTGCACAACCCTGTAAATGCACTAAAAGCCACAGGGTTGTAGACACTTTTAATGGGTGGGTTTTATGGTATGTGGATTCTATCTCAATATAACTGATATTAAAAAGAATAATATCAGATTAAGAGCTGGGTGAGGTGGCTCATGCCTATAATCCCAGAGGCTCAGGAGGCTGAGATAGGCGGTTCATCATTTTGAGGTCAGCCTCAGCAATTTAGTGAGGGTATAAGCAACGTAGTGAGACCCTTTCTCAAAAAAAAAAAAAAAAAAAGAGTTAGGGATATGGTTCAGTGGTTAAGTGTCCCTGGTTCAATCCCCAGTGCCAAAAATTAAAAAATTAAAATTTTTTTTAAAAAAGATATTAAGAGCTTTTCTACTATGGCTGCTATGATGTCCTTCCAGATGGTTCTCCCATTTGTTTGTTCATTCACTCTACAGATATTTCTTCATGGTGTACTGGAACTTGGCTCTATGCCAAGCAATTGGGATACAAAGTTGAAGAAAATAAACGTGGTCCCTCTCCTTATGTGTTTGGGAGCACAGGCTTTAGATGAAAAATTACGTTGAGCTATGATGAAGGTTACACTGTGGAGAGTTAAAGGGAGTCAGAGAACAGACAGCAGAGGGGCCCATCATGTTTTGAACAGTGAAGGCCTTGGCTCTGATTGAGGAAGTCGGGAGAGGATTCTGGGCAGAGGGAACAGTGTGTGTAACGGGCCAGCGGAAAGGAGGACCAAGGTGAAAGGGAGAAGGTAAGAGAGGCTCTGAGGAGGGCAGGGCTGCACTGGGCTGGGTACAGAAGGCCTTGTGGGCTGTGTTACAAACTTCTAATTTATCTGACAGACAGTGGGAACCTAGTGAAGGCTTGTTGATAAGTCCAAAACAGACAAGATGAGATTTTTTTCAGAAGAAACTTCTGGTTATACTGTCAATAATAGACTGAGGGAGATAATGA